AAAAGATATCCCCCAGATAACTATCCAGAGTACAAATCAGTGCAAAAGCTAAAAGCAAAGCCCTGCCAGGCAGCTGTACACAGGCCAGAAGCAGAACAGGCCTGGAGGAAGGGGTTGGGATGCTGTTATCCAGATCCAGGGAAGAAGTTAATGATATTCCTTACACCAAATGTGCTTTATCATAACCCTGGCTGAGTTTGCACAGGTACAAAAAGAGTTTGCTCAATTGAGCTGACACGGGAGGTTTTATTGAGATAATAAAAGGAACTATCAGGAAAAAGAAAAGATAGATCCTTGCTGGAATCAATCAAAAAGCCTTGAAGAGACTAACAGAAAAGCCAAGTGAGTTTGCCTGCCAATTCAGGAGTTTAAAGGAGGCAGGAAAATACATTTCAATTATGCAATCAAAGATCACTGAACAATCCAAAGGCTATAAAAACAGGGGCTGAAATATTAAAATAGATAAATCTGAAATAACCCCAAAGACAGGCATCTCAATAAAGACAACAGCAGTGAGAAGTAATTACAGGGGGAGAAGTGAGCAGCTTGTGAATGAGTTCCCTGGGCCCAGCCACTGGATGTGGGCAGGAATAAAAGGAATAAAAAGTGCAAGAAGGAGAAAAGCAGTGGAGTACCAGGGAGGTTAGGATGGATTTAAAAGGATTTTTGGTGACAAGTGAATGGGAGGTGTGCCCTGTGGGAAGGAGCTGGGAGCATGAAAAGGGAAAGGACAGGTGAAGTTAAAAGTCATATTGGGAATTAATGGGAATTAAGAGAAGGAAAATTGTTTATCTTGAGAAGATAACAAAATTCTGATGTGCAGGGAAACTTACAGGCATGGAAAATTGAAGATTTTTACAGAGAACATGAAATTCCTTCTTCCTGGGTGTTGATTGAATGCTTTTTGGTGCAAATCTGGCTTTCCCAGGTTTCCAGGTTGTCTTCAGTGTTTCCTGTTCCTCCCTGTCGGTTTTGTATTCCAAGGATCTCCCTGCCCCACTGGTGGCTGCTGGGGTGGATTTTGTTATGGAATTATGAGTTTGCAGGTCACAGCTCCAGGACAGTGATGGAGCTATTGGACAGTGATGCAAAATTCAGTTTTTTCAGGAACAGGAAAAGTCAACCTCGGAGCTGGAGTTTGGGAGCACAAACATAAAACATGGGATCTCAGGCCCACAAAATTCACTCCAACTTTGAATTTTGATCAGGAACTAGAGGGAGACAACTCAGATGTGCAGGGAGGACCTTGGCTCCACCACAGCAGGAAAATTCCCTTTTTTACCTCGATGTGCAGGGAGGACCTTGGCTCCACCACAGCAGGAAAATTCCTTTTTTTACCTCATTTTTGTAGGAATTTGAGGCCATTTTCTCCCCTGCAGAGTGCCCTGGCTGGGGATGCTGGGCACTTCACAGTGAAGTGAAAGGCTGTTAAAAAACAAACCAGATTTGTTTCACCCATGAAGGAACACCCAGGCAGGGGGTGGGAGTTTTCTGATCCTAAATCCCCTTTTCCAGCCCCAACCCCAGGCTGCCCCTCCCGAGCTGAGCAGAATCCACTAAAGCAGCAACTCCTCGCATTTGGAGTAATGAAAATCTGGCTACACTGACTTAAGGCAATTCACAGTTGTTAAATTTAATTTCCCATCAATAAATATAATTACCTAATTCAATTTCTGCCTCTTAATAAAAATGGTTTCCAATGTCGTTAGAGCCTCAATCCCCAATATCTGAGGCTGCTCAGGATTATGGGCTGTGTAAATACAATTTCTGCAAGCAGATGGATTTTCCATGCAGATGGAGAAACACAAATTGGAATCAGTGGCTCTGGCAGCTTCCAACACCTTCAACCTGAAAAAAAGAGAAACAATAAAATTACAGAGGCTTTTTTCCCCCTCTATCTTGCTGAGAAGGGAAAAGCTCTGCTTGTGCCTTCTTTAATTTGACAAGCCTTAAGATGTTCCTTTTCAGGGATTTAATTAGCTAAAATATATCCCCAGCAGAAAAATTAGGAGTGTCCTCGAGGTTTATTTGACACTGTGCAAACACTGGAGCTCCCTCTCGAGAGGGAAATTTCCTGCCTGGGATGATGGCGCAGGTTTTAATGAAGCCACTTGACCACAGCTCAGGCAGCCAGGAGAGGATTTTCCTCACAGATCTGTGTCAAAATGTGATTATGGTAAAAGGCCTCGAGCTGCACCAGGGGGGTGAGGCTGGGTAATGGGAAATTTCCTCATTTCTGCATGGAAAGGGTTCGGGCACAGGGAAGTCACATCCCTGAAGGTGTCCAAGGAATGGGTGGCTGTGGCACCTGGGGACAGGGACAGGGATGGATGTGGGGGAGTTTGGGTGGGAGGGACCCCAAATCCCACCCAGTGTCACCCCAGCCATGGCAGGGACACCTCCCACTGTCCCAGGTGCTCCAGCCCCAGTGTCCAGCCTGGCCTTGGGCACTGCCAGGGATCCAGGGGCAGCCACAGCTGCTCTGGGCACCTGTGCCAGGGCTGCGCACCCTGCCAGGGAACAATTCCCAATTCCCAATATCCCATCCAG